ATTTACTCACCCCCATGTCATCCAAGATGTCCATGTCTTTCTTTCTTCATTCGAAAAGAAATGAAGGTTTTTGATGAAAACATTCCAGGATTTTTCTCCATATAATGGACTTCAATGGGGACCAAACGGTTCAAGGTCCAAATGACAGTTTCAGTGCAAACTACAAACTGCTCAAACGACGAAACGATCGTTTCGCTTGATAAGATGATGAATAAGGGTTTTATCAAGCGAAACGATCGCTCATTTAAAAAATAAATAAATAAAGTTTAAGTTTTATAAGCTCAAATGCTCGCCTTGCTCTGTTCTGTGTGACCTGTCGAACTTGTTCATCTAAATGAACGAATCTTTTTCCGAATCATTTGGTTCATTCAACAAATGAAATGAACGAGTTGACTCGGGAAAAGATTCGTTCATTTTGATGAACGAGTTCGAACAGGAGAGTCACGAACGCGCATCACAGAACAGAGCAAGACGACCATTTGAGCTTATAAAACTTAAACTTTGTTATTTATTTATTAAATGAGCGATCGTTCCGCTTGATAAGACCCTTATTCATCGTCTGGAATCGTTTAAAGCCCTTTGAACAGTTTGTAGTTTGCACTGAAACTCTCTTTTGGACCTTGAACCGTTTGGACCCCATTGAAGTCCATTATATGGAGAAAAATCCTGGAATGTTTTCATCAAAAACCTTCATTTCTTTTCGACTGAAGAAAGAAAGACATGGACATCTTGAATGACATGGGGGTGAGTAAATTATCAGCAAAAGATTTTTTTTAAAGTGAACTACTCCTTTAAATAAAACCAGAGAGAAAAACATGAAGCCAGATTCACAGGTCATTAGTTCTCCGCCATCCTGCAAACACAGAATGCAAAGCAAAGTTTTGTTCCCAAACTCTCGGGAATTCGCAGGTTTCCACTCTCATCGGGGGTTTCACTCCTCGGCAAAAGGCGGGAGAAGCCTCGCCGCTTAAACCTGCCGCTATGCATTAAACATTGAGGGGACGGTGAGATCCTCAGTTGCATGGGAGCTGCGAGTCTTTCATTACCTGGGCTGTGCGAAATCTTCATCTCCACAGGAGCCCATTGACTCCCCGCCCGCTGCTCCGGCTGAATGAGGCCGCTCGCTCCTCCAGTCTGGCTCCGGCTCCGTCTCTCCTGGCCTTTGGAGGGTCCATTGAGTTCCCAGTTGCCCTTTAGTGCGGTTCTCACTCTCTTTATGCATCTATCGCAGCTCTTGCTGTGCTCTTCATGCCCCTGCTATACAGTGAAGACACACACATGCTCCTGGACTGCAGCCGTAGCGAACATGACTAAATGATAAAGCCTAGTGCACACTATAGCTCACCCAAATGATGTCATTAATGACTCGTCCCAAGCTTGTAAGACCTCAGAACACAGTTTAAGATTTTTTAGATTAAGTCCGAGAGCTTTCTGTCCCTCGGTTGTAAATGTGTGTACGGTATACTGTCCTTGTCCAGAAAGGAAATAAACACATCATCACAGTAGTCATGTGACATCAGTGGGTCAGTTAGAGTGTGTTGAAGCATCGAAAATACATTTTGGTCCAAAAATAACAAAAATTACGACTTTATTCAGCATTGTATTGTCTTCCAGTTCTGTTGTGGATCTTAAACCGTGTTCTGGAGATGAACGGAGGTCTGACATGAGGGTGAGTCATTAAAGGAGTAGTTCACTTTTAAGAAAACTTTTGCTGATAATTTACTCACCCCCATGTCATCCAAGATGTCCATGTCTTTCTTTCTTCAGTCGAAAAGAAATGAAGGTTTTTGATGAAAACATTCCAGGATTTTTCTCCATATAATGGACTTCAATGGGGACCAAACGGTTCAAGGTGTAAAAGACAGTTTCAGTGCAAACTACAAACTGTTCAAAGGGCTTTAAACGATTCCAGACGATGAATAAGGGTCTTATCAAGTGAAACGATCGCTCATTTAATAAATAAATAACAAAGTTTAAGTTTTATGAGCACAAATGCTCGCCTTGCTCTGTTCTGTGATGCGCGTTCATGACTCTCCTGTTCGAACTCGTTCATCAAAATCAACAGAGTCAACTTGTTCATTTCGTTCGTCGAAAAAAGATTTGTTTGATATCTTTTTTTTCCCTTAGAATTGGCCTGATAAGTTGCAATTGCGAGTTTATACCTCACGAATTGCGAGATATAAAACTCGCAATTATGTTATAAAGTCAGAATTGCGAGATGTAAGCTTGCAATTGTGAGAAAAAAGTATGAATTGTGAGATAAAAAGTCTCAATTCTGTCTTTTTTTTCTCGCAATTGCGACTTTATTTTCTGAGATAAAAAGTTGCAATTTTTTTTATTTATTTATTTTTTTTATTCAGTGGCGGAAACAAGCTTCCATAGAAAGCAGATGATTTAAACTGTAATCATATTTATTTTCATTTTTACTGTATTTTGATCAAATTAACAGCCTTGGTGAGCAGGAGCGACTTCTTTAAAAATAAAAAGAGAAAAAAAAAAAATCGTACCAACTCCAAAATTTTAAACATTGTTTGACGTTTAAAATCGTCAATGAACTTTAAAATGCATGAGGTCAAATTATACCCAAGAACTTGCTTTAAAAGGTATTTCAAGTTTTTTTTTCATTTAAGGTAATGAATAACACACTTGTATTTTAATGTAACAAGCATTTGGGCTTGTTTTATATAAATTCAATAACCATAAAAAACAAATCCTACAAGTTGAGCATTTTTTCTAGCCAAATCAATTAATGTAATCTGTATTTATGATACTTTTCAGATATAATTTTCGATGACCAGTTGAATATAGTCAGTTTCCTTTAAAACATCTTAATAAACAACAACAAAACAAAAAAATTAAAAATTCAATAACAATAAAAAACAAATACTACAAGTTGTAGTATTATAATACAAGTTGTAGTTAGTAATGTAATCTGTATTTATGATACTTTTCAGATATAATTTTCGATGACCAGTTGAATATAGTAAATTTCCTTCAAAACATCTAATGCGTTCTTTGTCTAAAAAAAAAAAAAAAAAAAAAAACGCACTTTGGTTCAAATATAAATTTGCATTAAAGCAGGTCTGGCTACACCTAACCTCTTAAAATACAGTTCACGAGCCGCTCCAAAGATGTCCGAATCACATTTAAGTTGCTGGGATGAAGACTTACTTTGTCTCACACACACACATTATTTCCTCCTGTATTGGCAGTGGTGATTTGGGGCTGAGGGCACGTCTGGTAGAAGCCGCTCATCAACACCCCCGGCTCACACAGATCTCACATCAGTCCTGGAGTCGGCTCAGACACACACTCTCACACCATCTGCAACGCAAGACTGTCATACATACATGCACTGCTCTTTTTAGAAGACTTCACAGTCACACACTCTTTCCATCAAAGCAGCGAAGCTCAAGAGGAATATAATGCTACCAATAAACCTTAGTCACAATAGACAGACTCCATATTTATTTTGGTGTGAACAAACCGGGCTTTACTCCAATTTTTTTATTGATGTCGTAATAAATATGGCCTTGTTAGAAATCAATCCTCAGCCGTACAACATTCACGGAGGATCTGACCAGCGAGCAAGCCTCGAAAAGAAGCATAAAGACTGTAGGACCTTGTTTTTACATGCATAAATACTAAATAGCATAAAGTGTTACCATCTATATATGATATAATATCATGCAAAAGTTCATGTATTTCAGTAATTCAAATTAAAAGGTGAAACTAATATATTTAGTATATATAACTATATACATATGCATGAGGGCCGACATTTCTGTATTTAAAATCCTTTTTTTTAATTGATTTTATGTAATATTCGATATCATTTTTTGAAATTGGGGTTTTCATAAACTAAGACACAATCATCAAAATTATAACTTTTGCACGATATTCTAATCTTTCGAGTTTCACCCGTATATCAAAATTGTTTCATAAAATGCGTTACTTGACCTTTCTTTTGCAATTTCTGAGTAAAAACTGTTTCAAAGTAAATCCTACACCAGTTGCAAATTAATAAAGGTGCTTGTTTTTACCTCGTGTGAACACACACTCATCAACATATTGCGTTTTGCTTTGGATCCTTTAGTTAAAATCAGCATTGGACGGCCGGGTATCGATTCAGACGTTGCAACTCGATTCGATTCAAAATTAGATTTCGATTCCCAATTTGACTCAATGAATATAGATTTAATACAAATCCTATATATATATATATTTTTTTTTTTAAAGAACGGTGAACATAAGTTTACAAGTGGTTAATTAATAAAAAGATATTAAGAGCCAGAAACCTGTATATTAAACTCTTTTTATTTGGGTACATTAACACCCAACTTCAAATCCATACAATGAATAGACAGGATTTTGATGCAAGATGAAAAATTGTCTGCCTTGATCAATCAGGATCGGGTTATTTTTAAAACAAAAATATGTAAAAATGTAGGAACACTAATACTGGCTTTTGGGTGATAGATAAATAAATATGGAAAAAAATCCATTTGTGGCCTTTGAGAATTGATTTTGTATCACATTAATCAAAAATCACTGTCATCATCTGCACTGTAAAAAAATATTTTCAAGATTTGTTATCACAACATATTTTCTTTTGTCAAATCAACTTTATAATAATTTATTTAGTTGAGAACTTATTATTTTGAGTTTCTGATGATTAAATGAATCTCCTTCATTGTATTAACTCACTTTTTCCAGTTTAATCAACTTAAAATTTTAAGGCAACCCAGGTTACTTACTTTTTTAAGTTAAACCAACAATATTTGTTTACAGTGTAGTAATCACAACATTTTTTCTTTTGTCAAATCAACTTTATAATAATTTATTTAGTTCAGATAACATATAATTTTGAGTTTCTGATGATTAAATTAACCTCCTTCATTGTATTAACTCACTTTTTCCAAATCAATGAATTTAAAATTTTAAGGCAACCAGGTTACTTACTTTTTTAAGTTAAACCATCAATATTTTTTTACAGTGTCCACTTGATTATACATTTATATATCACAAAATCTTTCAGACTGTTGATGTTTGGCTACATACGCCACGAGGTCTTCAACATTTCCAATAGAAACTCCTTTGAGAGAGCACAGTCCGCTCTATACCTGCAGGAACACTCGTTTTAGCGCACCGAAACATTGTTTTTGGTATATACGTGTACATGAATTATTAAACGGACGTCTTTGGCCACTTGTTGCGTCGCACTGATTTCCGGCTTCCTTCCATATGATGATGTCACAGGAATGGCCTGTAGAAAAATCAGAAAAATATCCATCAAATTTAATTTTAGTTTCAGGATTTTTTAAAGTGAAATTGGAAATTTTCATTTGAAAGTTTTTAAAAGTCTATTTAAATCTTTATTAAGAAAGATTATTGGAGTATTATTGTAATTTTCATTTTTATTAAAGATCATATGACTATTATTGAGGTTTTTATTTTTATTCAATATTATTGGAGTATTATTGAGGTTTTCATTTTATTAAAGATTGTTGGATTATTATTGGATTTTAATTTATTAACAAATATTTATTAGTTTTTAGTAAGTTAGTTACTTAGGTTTTATTAAGATTGGAGTTTTTATTTTTATTAAAGATTTTTGGAGTATTAATTGGAGCATTATTGGTGTACTTTTAGAGTTTTCATTTTTATTGAAGATTATTGGAGTATCATTGAGGTTTTCATTTTATTAAAGCTTTCAATATTGAGGTTTTCATTTTTTTTTAAACTTTGAATATTGAGGTTTTCAATTTTATTAAAGCTTATTTGAGGTTTCATTTTTATTAAAGCTTTGAATATTGTTGAGGTTTTCATTTTTATTAAAGCTTATTTGAGGTATTCATTTTAAAGCTTTGAATATTATTGAGGTTTTCATTTTTATTGAATATTATTTGAATATTATTGAGGTTTTCATTTTTATGAAAAGATTATTAGAGTACTTAATTTACTAGGGATAATTGGAGTTTACATATCTATTATAAGATTGTTGGAGTATTTGATTTTTATTTATTAACAAAGATTATTCAAGTATTAATTGAAGCATTACTGGAGTATTAATGGAGTTTTCATTTTTTTTAAAAGATTATTGGAGTATTATTGGAGTTTTCATTTTTATTAACAAAGATTTTACAAAAATAAATCAATCAAAATTTCATATTTAATTCAATATGTCACTTGCCATTTCTTTATAATTATTTCAGAAATTTTCCAGTAATTTCTTAGAGAGAAAATAAATCTTTTTTTGAGAGCGTAATGAGACAAATCCACTGAGTAACTGATATCAGAGAGTCCTCAGACGACATCGAACACCTGAAAGCGTGTGTGCGGCAGCGGCGCAGGTTAGCTAGCGTTCTCGATACTCTGGGATAAACTAGCTGTAAAGTGCTGCGTTCACCAGCGAGTCTCTGTGGTCTTTTAGCCTTCACCCGTTTCCTCTAATGAGCTTCACTCACTCCTGACGGCGTTCAGCAGCCTTTTAATAATTTGTGCTCTTGCTGCTGTTCTGAACGGCCTAGCCGAGCACTTTCTCTGACATTCTGCTGATGGAACGACATCCAGAAGTGCTTATGATTACAAAAACCTCGTTTGACTCCTCCCACTTCCCCAATATTAGCTCGGCTAAAAAAAAATCCATAAACAAGAAAAACAGGAAAGGGATCGGAAATAAATAAGCCACAGCTTCATTTTCTCAGGGTGTTTTGCACCACTTAACACACATTGTGCAAACGCAACACACCCAGAGGACGAGAACGAGGCGCGTCGTGTCAGAAGATCTGGGAGAGGAACTCAGGTGCCCAGTCCATGGCCGTCTGGGCCACCGCCAGCGCCGCGGCCCCCAGCGTGGCGGACAGACCCCACACCGCCATCTTGATGAGCTGGTTGGTGTTCGCCGGCCGGAGGCTCATGGGAAGGGCCGGCGGGTGCTCGTGGCGCTCCTGAAGCTGCTGGCGGAGGACCGAGTCCGGACGCTGCATCCGCGTGGACGACTGGAAGTCCGTGAAGGTGCTGATGGCGATTCTGGCCAGAGAAACACACAAGACTTGTTTTAGTATCATTTTTTATTTTGGAATTCGTTTTTTTATATGTTACATTTTAATTTTAGTCAGTTTGTTGAGGATTTAAGTCAAGTGTTATTTTTGTATCATTATTATGCTAATTTATTCATATTTTGAATTTCATATTTCATTTTCGTTAAAAGGTTTAGTCGTTTTGTTGAGTGTTTAAGTCTATCAAATTGATACGCACATTTTAGTTTTATTAATAGTTTACATTTTATTTGAAGTTTTAGTCATTTTTAATTGCTTTTTTGGTCTAATTTATCAATTTTATTTCAGTTTTAGTTTATTTTGATTGCATGTCACAAAAGTTTTAGAAATTTTGCTGCCTTTTTATCAGTTTTTTTGTCCAATTAATTTCTATAATTTTTTTCTTTCAGTGCATTTCATTTAGTACATTCATTTTAGTACATAAACCGAAACTAAATGGACATTAAAAATGTGCAAAGTTGTGTTTTTGTCTTCTTTTATTATCTGTCCATTTAATTTTATTGTCTTCGTTCAACTAACTGAAATAAAAACATTTATTTTTCTTTTTTGTTCATGTTTGAATTTTTTTCAATTAACATTTTTACTTTATTTTAATATAAGTATTATTAAAATTTTTGTTACTGATCACATTGGTTTAAAACTAGACATTAGCAATACTGCAAACACAACAAATGCTATATAAACTATAAATGGTGTATGATTTAGTCTGAATATTTTCGCCAAGTATAATGGACAGTATCTTGAACACTGTATATCCTAACCAGGCGTGACACACGATGAGTGTCATGTCTTCACTGAGAGAGAAATGGTGCATGAAGCCACAAAATTAATATCTAATTACACAGATTTGATGTTTAAAAAATACAATTTTTAGCTTCCAAATGAACAGATAAGAAAAGAAGCGAACACTGTTTTCCTTCAGAACAACATGATCATGCACAATAAAACCAGGAAAAGTCAGATTGTGGACCGATGACATTCAACGACAGAAATAGAAACCAAGCGACCGACAAAAAGGGCACATTAGACGCCTGGTTAGTGAACAACAGCAAGAGAAGAATAACTGGGTGAATCATCAGAACAAAAGAACGAGGGAATTGGAACGAGAACGGAGGCATGGCCTCTAGTCTTGATCGGAGACACGGAGAGATCCTCATTTCTGGAGTTTTCCCAAAATCCTGCGGGCTACACGAATCTGCCTTTCTCTCGACAGTTTAGAGGAAAAACATCATTAAAAAATCATAAAATATTCAATTCCATTTCATTACGGTCTCTATGGAAGAATAGTAAACATGGAATGCAAATGCCTTTCACTCAAGATAATAAAACAGGCAGAAACACATTCAACATTTAATGAAAAAGTGCTAGAAATACCATCGGCAGGCGCTGACGGGCTCAACGTCTTCATTCGTTTTTATGCTTTTTTCCTTCTCGGCTTTCCCCAGTTCTCATTAGTATCTACAGCTAATGCGCCACTGCTGAAAATAGCTGACAGGTAACAGCAGAGCAATTAACTTTTAAACTTTCCCTTTACCAGCGGAAGGCCCGAGAGAGCCAGTGGTTTGCGCTGACGAAACTCCAGTATAATGCAGTGACACAGCCGTCACTCACGCCGCCTTAACCTTTACTGAAAGGATCTTTACGCAGCTCTTTCCCATTCAGCAACAGGTTACTAAAACCACCAAAGAACTCTTGCATCATATCCAAGGTCTTCTGAAATCAAATATTAACTTCATGTAAAGTGCAATTACCGTTTCTCAGTTTTAATACTCCATTAATGTATGTCCAAAAACCGGATAATGTCATACTTTTTAGTAGCGTTATCGTGGCGTAATAATCTGTTTGGTTGTAAAATGTATTACCTGAATGAAATGAAATCGAATGTATCGTCCTGTGGAATCATTCATTCACAGACACACAGTATACGAAGATGTTCAACTAGAGATCTTCATCGCTGGCAAAAATATGAAGCATTTGCAGATTTGCTTTCACTAGACTAGACTCCAACGCTCTTGATGTTCTTAAATCTTACGACTCCTCGAGTGTGAACTGAAAGTGCTTCAGACGATTCAGTGCGTGAGGAACTGAACAGATCAACTGATTCGCCAACCGATTTAGACAGATCTGACAACTTGTCTTTGAAAGGGATCGACTCAAAAGAGTGATTCATTTGTAAATGAGCATCGCTCGTGCCCATACAAAGGATACAGCGCGCTTGGAATAAACTCAGGTGCTTTTCTGTCATTTCTGACCGAAAAATTTTCTGTTTTGAATTTCTAAAAATCACAGCTTCATCAGAATGTTATGAAACTTGGTGAGTTTTATTGCATTATGTATGTGAACACACAAAAAAATTGAAGTCATGAACTGAGCATGCTAAGTGGTCTAAAAAAAGATAGTCACACTTGTGGTCTTCGGTCAAAAATGACCCCCATTCTCTGAATTTTTGTATGTGCAATCTACAAATCGGCCACAATTCTAAAAAAAAAAAAAAAAGTACACCGCAGGAAAGGGGTGACACTCTACAACATCTAGAGTGCAAAACAGACAAACCCACCCACACACACACACTTTTATATACACACACACCAATAAATTGATTACAAAAAGTATGTTTTGAATTTTTAAAAATCACAGCTTCATCGGAATGTTATGAAACTTGGTGACTTTTATGGCATTATGTATGTGAACACACAAAAAAATGAGGTCATGATCTGAGCATGCTAAGTGGTCTTAAAAAAAATAACCACACTTGTGGTCTTTGGTCAAAAATGACCCCCATAGGAAATGAATGGGAAATTGACAAAAACACAAAAATTCACAATTTTTTTGTTTGGGTTTTTTTTTTTTTTTTTTTTTACATTTTTTTAATAAAAAAACGTTTTTGAGATTGTTTCAACTATATATTCAAATCCATCACCACCAAAAAAAAAAAAAGTGTTCATAAACAGCTGGGGAATTCACATGCCTCTCCATAGAGAGCTGTACATGCCATCTAGTGGTTACACCATGATTCTACGCTTTTTCTCTATACTGTAACCAGATGGTGCTAGTTTTCTTCAAAAAAATATTTTTTTTTTCTGAAGGCCTAGACTCTATATTAAACTCAAATACTGCATTAATAATTTTTTGAAAAAAAAAATATATATATAGAAATATATATATTTTTCCATAGCAAAAATAGACCATAAATATTGCATAAATATTAATAAATTCAATCAAATTGTTCCAAAATACTAAATTACAAAGAATAAATATTATAGAGCAAAAATAAATTGCATTGGTTTTACTGGGATGGAGGAAATTTAATTTTTAGAGGTCCGGTCACTTTTGACCGGGAGGATAACAAAGAACACCTGAGGGTTAACAACGAGAGAAATGTAACAAAGTAAAAGTGCACCTTGTGTCCCTGACAGGAAAATACCCTGCTGCGCGATCACACAGTAGGCGCAGGGTCAATTATGTCATACTACACATTAGAATTGTGAGAAAATATAACGATATTCGAGAAAGCTATTTATGATCCCAACCCAACTTTGATTAACGGCGATATTTTTTTTTAATCGCCCGATAAGAGTCTCACGTTAACGGCCCAAAACACTGGTGCAAAATCCTAGTGATTGCTATGTACAATATTTACTGAAATCTAATTAGCAAAAATAGTGTCTGGTGGCATTGCATCAGGTTTTGACGTCACTGGTGCCAAAACAACTGATCCTCGTGAATATGGGGAATGAAAAATAACTTTGTTTGACCGTTTTCTAACACAAAGGCTTGCATATGGTCCTTTTTTTGGTGTTTTTGTACTTTGTGGAGCTTGTCAGACGTGAAACTACCTGCTGTTGTACGGCGAAAACCGGGAGAAAATTCTACTCAAAGCAAATACAGGTTTCGAAGGACACGAGGGTGAGCAAATAATGACAGAATTTTCGTTTTCGTGTGGGGGTGACGGTCCCTTTAACTCGTAACGTAATCAGCTCTGCAGGGAATCTCTCTTCCTCCATCTTCAGAGATGAATCCTCGTCTTTGGTTCCTGCTCTCTTCAAGGTGGCACGTCTGACGGTCTTTGATCGCTTTTTCTCCCTCCCTCTTGTCTCTAAAACAGTTTCTAATTTTACCGTTTCCTCTCTCAGAAGCAGCAGATTGTGTGACCTCTGTCACATCAGTCTTCTGTTTTTCCTTCACCCTCTTCCTCTCGCTCAATCTGTTCTTGCTGTGGTGAAGAAGATACAGCAGATGATGGATGTGTTTACGCTGGAGGAACATTTCCACGGATGCACTCAGTCAAACCATCACAGCTCCACAGTCTTCACGGAAACCCTATCCTCATCTGCCTCCTCTTTGAGAGCCTTGTTCACATGCACATGTGTTAGTGCAGAAAATATGAGGGCAAACCTTTTATTTATATATATATATATATCTACAGGTGAAACTCAAAAAATTAGAATATGGTGCAAAAGTTCAACTTATTTCAGGAATTCAACTTAAAAGGTGAAAGTAATATATTATATAGACTCATTACATGCAAAGTGAGATATTTCAAGCCTTTCTTTGTAATAATGTGTATATATATATATATATATATATATATTAGAGCTGTCAAACAATTAATCGCAATTAATTGAATCCAAAATAAAAGTTTGTGTTTACATAATATATGTGGGTGCACTGTGTATAATTATTTTGTATAAATATAAATACACACATGCATGTATATTTAAGAAAAAATTATTATTTATATATAAAATATTTATATTTATTATAAATTAATTATACACAGTGCACCCGCATATATTATGTAAACACAAACTTTTATTTTGGATGCGATTAATCGTTTGACAGCCTTAATATATAAATATATATATATATATTAGTGGTGTAACGATACCCTCATGTCACGATTCGATACATCACGATATGATCAAATACGATATTATTACGATACTCTAAGACACAAACAAGCTTAGCTTA